TCATGAGCCCCTTGTCATGGCCCCTAGTTGAAGCCCTGTGTTTCGACCGTGCGACACTCACTCCTTGGTCCGCTAAGGGAAAGTCGGCCTTCCCACCAAGCGCACAATTGTGCACCAACAAGCCTAACTTAGTGCGCACCACCACTCACACTAGCTTAACGCACAAATATGCACTACACACAAATAGAAGCCAAGCACACCACAAGAGAGGGAGACACGAGTTGGCTATGAATAGCCTTAGAAATCCAGTAGATCTCAATAAAGCTTACAAGGTGTCAGTATTCCTCATTGTTCTGAGGTTGGTTACAAATGAGCAATCCCCCCCTTTCCCCCCTCTTATATAGGCTCAAGGCCTTACAACCGATGGTCAGGATTAAGACTATGGTACGCATCCAATGGCTAGAAGCCCTCTAGCGTTTACAATGTTCTATGCCATTCTACAAAACCTTTTCATCTAGAAGCCCACTAGAACCCTCATGAATGCCCTAGAGCTCTCTACAACTTCCCGGGCCCAACTGATTAAAAATATGGGCCTATGCACATAGTGTACAAAGCATTGTTGGACAAGGCCTAGCAGTATTTTTGGGGCGTGACATTCTCCCCCACCTAATATGGCGATGCCCTTGTCGCACTTCTTCCATGACGCCTTCTGGTCCTCGAATTGTCACAATGCCTATGTGTGTTCCTAACTTTCCTTGTTGACCAGCACACTCCTCCTAGCCAAGTACTTCCTGCGCTCTCCTCATCCATGCGTCTCCTGACCGGTTGTCTGCCTAGGTCATGCGTTGTAGCCATCTTCTTCCATTTCTGCCCTTGGAGGCACCCTCTTCTTAGTCTTCTTGTGCTCAACTTGGGTAGGCACCATCACCTTATGTTCCCCTCTTTAAGATAGTCCAACCAACCTAGCCTTATGAGGCAACTCCCCCCACCATGGTGAACTGCATAGCCGAAAGGGTCTTACTAATGGTCTTGGTGCCTTGCACCATAGGCACCATGCATGGAGCTCCTTCCTCCATGATGCACACTCAGTTTGCGAAGGGCATGAGTGCCACCCTCACCCGGCTCAGGAAGTCAATCCTGAGGACAACTTGATAGTCATCCATTGGTACTAGGGACAGGTGGACCTTGCCACTCCATAGGCCGAGGCATATGTCTACCCCACGAACCATGCCATGAATAGGTTTGGTCTCGGAGTTTACTGCCTTAACTCATCCCATCTACCTGGCAAACCGCAATCCCAGCCAGTTAGCCTCTTCCTTGGAGACGAAGTTGTGCGTAGACCCTGTATCGATCATGGCCTTCGTGGTCTTCCCATTGATTTGAGCCTCCGCATACATGAGGCTCTTACTTGGAGCCGTGGGTCTCTCCGTCTCAGCATTCATCCCATTGAAGAGCTGCAGTGACCCCCATTTGAGTCTCTTGGACACCTCCCCCACCCTTAGGGTCGTCCATCTCTGCTATTAGAGCATTAAGAGCTTTTCTTTTAGGGCAATCCCGTGCCCAATGTGGCCCTTCACATATGAAGCACTCCACGCTTTGTGCCTTACGCTCATCCCTCTTAGGTCTCGAACATGGTGTAGCCCTTTACACATGAGGCAGAAGTTCCGAGTCCTAAGCACGTCCTGTTGGCCCTCGTTATTTCAGAATTTTAAAATTGCTTCTAATTGCATAAAAACCCCTAAAAAGGTATTTCTAGAATTTTATTTACATATTTCAGAAGATTTTTTTTATTAGGTGGGACCCACATTTTGGTTGGGGGGATGGGGGCTAAGGCCCAGTCTCTCACACATGTGGGGTCCACAAGGGTGGGATATGTGGGGCATACATGGGCCACACGCCCCACATAAAGATGTTATTGATCGCTTTTGAAAATATAATGTTAGTTGAGAAAATATCTTATGGAAATATTTTGGTAGCGATTATCCTAAAATATACTTTCTTAAATAAAATTATTTTGTTGGATATTTTATTTTAGATCTAGATAATCTTTGACCAAATTTTAATTATTTGAATTCCTAATCCCTTTGTGAGAGAAAAGGAATTCAAGATTATTCTAGATTGCTCTAGAAGACAGGTTTAATCAATCATACATCTAAATATAAATAGGAGTGGATAATGGGGTCAAATCTCAGGAGATAAGTTTCCTAAATATCTTCTCTAATCATGATGCCTGATCTTAGAGATGGATGGGCTCAGATTAATTCTCTAACTCACCTCACATATTACCTAAATATTCTAGATAATGGTGAATTTTAATCTAAGTGGAACTCCCCAGACCCCTTGAGGCCTATATAAAAAGGCAGAAGAGGGGGAGGGGGGTGGGGATTCAGCCCCTCAATTTCTACACATCTGAGACCTCTAACTGGCTTTAACTGGCTTGTTATCTCCAAAAGGATACAGTAGACAAATTGCAGCATAGAGGATTCTAAATGCGCAATGTGTAAGGATTGCGAGGAATCCATTGACCATCTTTTTATTCACTGCAAAGTGGCAATCGATATCTGGCATTTTATCTTAAACCTGTTTGGCTGGTTTTTCGGCAACACCCGAAACAGTCAAACAACTGCTGTTATCTCACTTTTCTCCCCCTTTCTCTTCCTTGGGCCTGCTTCCTTGGCAGGCCTTGCTCCTAGAAATCACCTCGACATTCTGGCTAGAGCAAACAAAAGAGTGTTTGATAGCAAGGAGTACCACACAAACAAGTAGATCACGATCTTTTGGGTGAGGAATTGCAAATTGTTCCAAAATATCGGTGACAGACTTTAAGAAGAACTAGAAACATCTAATCGGTTCCAAACTGATGACCATTTTCAGATATTCTCATGGGATCCCACCTGCCCTAGAACCATCAAACTAAAGTTTGATGGCTGTTCTCTCAGAAACCTAGCCATGGATGGCATTCAAGGCATACCTAAAAACTGCTCTGCTGAGACCATATTTGATATCAGACCCGATTAGACTCACCAACTCAACCTTCACCAAGGCCCAGACTCTGCTCGCTGGCCTCAAACTAATCGAGAGCAGCTGGGGATGCTCTCTATTGATTGAGGAAGGCTCAATGAATGTAATAAATCAAGCAAGAATAACCCCTTGCCCATGGAAACTTGAACTCATCTTTGAAGAAATCGTAGAGTTATGCTGCCCATACAAGTATATGTTAGACAAATATGGAGAGAAGCAAACTTAGCTGCGGATTCCATGGCAAAAGTTTGCGCATCCTTGACCATAAACACATATAGAGAGAAGCAAATTCAGCTGTGGAAACCATTGCAAAACTTGGAGCATCCTCAACCAACCACATAGTCATAAGGCCCCAATCTAAAGTAGGAATTTGGTCATTTTTTGCATATCCACTATGTAAAAAACATGTACAAACAAATAGTGGAAAGATGAATGAGTTTTCAGTGACAATAGATCTACATCAGGGGTCAATATTGAGCCTAGACCTCTTTTGTCTTAGCTACAGACAAGTTAACTAGACACCAATAGGATGAGGTACCGTGGTGCATGTTGTTCACAAATGACAGTTTTGTTCAATGAGGCCCAAAACAACATCAACACAAAGTTAGAACTTTGGAGGGATGTTCTAGAATCTAAAGGTTTTAAAATTAGCCGGACTAAGACAGAATATATGGAATGCAAGTTTAGTAATAATAAGAGTAGAGACGTGGAAGTAGTAAAGATCGACGGCAGGAAATACCAAAAAAACCGCACTTTCGATATCTTGGGTTGATAATCCAAGAAAATGGAGAGATTGAAGAAGATGTCGCACACAAAATTAGAGCTGGGCGAGCAAAGTGGAGATGTACAATCAGAATTTTATGCGATCGTCGCATACCAATGAAGCTGAAGGGCAAGTTCTATAGGATAGTTGTGAGACCAGATTTGCTCCATGGAGCGAAATTGTGCGTGGACAAAAAATAACATAACCATAGAATGAGTGTAGCGGAGATGATGATGTTGAGATGGATGAGTGACAAAACAAGAAGGGATAGAATTCGAAATGAATCCATTCAGACAAACTTAGGTGTGGCACTAATAGGTGATAAGATGAGAAGGTGGGTTGGCCATGTGTGGCGCAGACCCAGTACAACACATGTTAGGAGGTGCGAGTTAGTTCAAGTGGAAGGCTAAAAAAGGGAAAAGGGTAGACTTAAAAGGACATGGTTAGAAGTAGTGCGAAAAGCTATGGAGACTTATGGCCTCACTGATGGTATAGCCCTTAATAGAGCAGAATGGCAGACCAAGATTCGTGTAGTCGACCCCAATTAATTGAGAAAAGGCCATGATGATGATGATGATGATTTTGTTCAAAACACTTAGATGCCACAATTTTGTATACCAACTTCCAGTCGCCAAACATATATTGCTCTACCTTCATTTGGGGTGCTCTACCTTTATTTGATTAAAAAAGTCACCCTGTCGAGAAAAAAACATTTTTCTATTCTCAAACTTCCATAATCATATTGGAGTTGTCAGCTAAACTTCAGCTATTGAGTTACATATAAATCTACCACCTTGGACGTTGGGCTTTGAATTAACAATTACCCAACCCTATTAATAATAGTTTTGACTTTTGTGTTTGAAGTTAACACGTAACCCATAATGCATAGTTGAAATACGAGTTCTTCTTACCCTGGTATTCTAAAACATCATGGCTAAAAAGAAGCCTCCCAAATTGACTTAGTCCTTCCATAATTTTTTCTTTCCTAACATCTTTACTAGATAATCCATCCAGTTCCACTCTAAAGAAAGCAAAGCACTTGTGATGGGTGTGGACGATGATCTAATATTCTAAGAAGCAACGTTGAATAATTAAAAACAGTAGTCACTAACCAAAAGAAGGATTTATGCCAACCTAACAAAGGGCTGTATTATAGCATTGTTGTAGAAAGATATCGGATTCATGAATAAGTGGTATCTATTCCTAATGGTTAAAAAAAATCATCTGTTGAATTCAGGAAAAAAAACAAACAGAAAAACTTAAAGGAGAGCCTCACCTTCCTGACATGAAAACAGCTTCGTACCGACCACGGCTAGCTGCAAGAACTCGCTGTTTCAACTTTTTCAAGGACGGTAAGACTTGAAATGCCGGAGGCTCTGGAAGAACAGCCATGTATACTATCAATGATTCACTAAAACCATAACAATTCTCATGAGAGAGTACAATATAATCCAATGGAGTATGGTGAATCGTAGTCGGTGGAGTTATTGCCATCCAATGAAATAATGGAATGCAATGAGAGACAGAGGGATCTTGTATCTTGCTCTGGTGGGTCCCACTTGTCACATCATTATCCATCATTTTGTTGGCCGGTGATGAACCCAATGAATGTGGTTCCCAATAGTCCACTGAATTGTAGTATATACTTTCCAAATTCATGAATACAGGAAAACACAATCATTAATGGAACAAAATATCTGTGAACCCAAAGTAAGAAAACTTTCACACACCCAAGTCATTAATACAAACATCTTGAGAGATTCCTGATTTTGATATCTTTTCAAGCAAGATCAAAGGGTCAGCTGCGCTTGCTTGTTCAAGTCGGAAGTGCTGAAGTTAAACATATTAAACCATCCATTTGTAAGGTCCCTGATGCTTTAATCAATACGTAACTTATGCAATAGAATTAGTACTAAATCTTAGGGATTGCCATCCGGATCACCTTGTACACTTCAGCAGTTGGGCATGCCTGTGGTGGCTTTATAAGAACCATTGGTGTGTTCAGGGGTATGGGTGAAGGAATATCTTGAACAGCCTGAGGATGAAGTGCTTCTCATTGGTCAATGCAATGTCTCAAGCACAAAAAGTTGCATTCACGTGCAAAGAAACTAGTATCTACTCTCCAACCATTCTGCTTATACAAAAAACTCTCTTCCCTATATCAACTATTTATATATTTATCTACCTTGCTTCTAAATATCCATCTGTCTGCCTATCTGTCTCTGTGTGTGTGTGTGCGCAAGCGGGCATACGTGCTTGCATGCTGCACGTGTGACCACCTACTGGCACATCCCAGCAGTTTTATATAGCTTTAGATAAGCACCAGGCTGGACTGACCCAATTCAATAGCAGAAACTAGTTAAAGCAGTCCAACTGATTTACATAGAGAACTATCCAAGTTCCCTGATGAACAGTATCATCATCATCCAAGTCTTATCCCTGATGGACAGTGTAAGAACCAGCAATGCTTCACAAGAAATTGAGGACAAAGGAAACAGATATTCTTAATTCGAAGGAATACCATAATACAGCGGGCTATGGTATTTTTAGTATATCCTGCTGATAGATGGTGGAGATTAGCAGTAGCGGGCCCAGTGGGACACAAATCGAGGCACAACTAATCCTCACTGTCCATCACAAAGACATGGTGGATGCCCCTTTGAACTTTGGAGTGCCATATATTACTCCATTGGGTCATGGGACACTGCTCCTTCTTAGTTCTCTTAGACTAAGAAAAATGAATACATATGGATTAGGGCATGACAATCATCAATGCGTATATGGAGTACAATCAAATACTTACTATTACATTTGACAAAACGTACCTCACCTCTACCAGTACAGTATGCTGCTCCATGAGAGAAGAAGAATGGAACATCTGAACCTATTTCACCTGACCATTCTTGAAGATCTTGCTCACTAGCAAGACACCCACTAAATTGGTTGGCAGCCCATAGTGCAGTCGCAGCATTACTGCTCCCTCCGCCAAGTCCAGCACCTGTAGGCACCTTTTTATCAAGGTGGATCTGCATGTATCATATTATCAATGAAGACCCACCAATGCATGCAACTGCATTCATGGTATTAACTCTTACAAAGTATCCGAGTACAATAGCCTATGGAAAACCATAGCCCATTGGGGCCACGACCATTCAATGAAATGATGGATGGTGATGGAGAGGGGGAACCCACCTGAACAGAAGATGCCCCAGTTGTGGGTCCCACTCTATCTCCATCACCATTCATTCCAGCAGAGCAAACTTACCACTATTATTGTTGTTATTATTACTATTGTTATTATTGTTATCATTTCAAATTGGTGGTGACTCCATAAAGGTATTAACCATAAAAAATAAGAGGTCACTCTAATGGTACATCAATATACAACTTTTTGTCAGTGGAAGCATCAAAGAAATAAGTAAAATGAGGGCAATATTTGGAAGCTTAACTAGCAAGCCTACCCAGAAGAACTTGTCGCTTCCTGTCTTTTTCCTGTACAAATTAAGCGCCTTGATTATCTGAAAGCAGGACACAAAAAAGTCCACAGGAGATCACATTAAGACATGACTAAAGCAGCGAGTAGAAGCATTTAACAAAATGGAATGAAACTTGAAATGCTTACAAAAATATGAATATTCACCCCGCATCTCTCCAACTCCTATGTGTTTGTGTCTCCATGTTACACACACACACATACATGCGTGCACACACACACACACACACACACACAGAGGATAATTCGGCCATCAAGAGGTAATAAACAGAAAATCAATGGGAAGCCCACAAAATCACAAAATTAGGTACATTACAAAGTGAGTAGAACAGAAGTAAATGCTCATATCAACTCACCAAATTCTTGTCATCAAGAGGGACTCCAGGGACATTTGTCGAAAGGCGGTCCTTGCTCTTTGTAGGCGACAAAGAGAACTTTATTGTATCTCCCAAACTTATCACCTAATATACAAAATTATGGAGATATTCAGCCAAATTATCCATATATGATTCTTGCAGATGCACAAAGTTATTCAGCTTAAAACAAAAATGGAGTAAAATGATTCCAAAAAGAAAGCAAAACTATAAGAAAGATATATACATGTCTACAAACCTACATGGAAAAGAGAAGCCAGATCATGATATCCATCTTGCCTCCTGCTTGTTATTCGTAAAAACACATTGATCTGAACTTCAAACAGGTATCAATGATCAGTCCGAAGAAGAAACATATAAGAAACATTTAATTTCAAATTATCAGTTGTCATCATAAACATCGAAACTGGAAGCTCAAAAATCGTAAACTTACGTTTTTCAATAACATAGAAAAGGTAAGAATCCCAGTTTTATATCATTCACTTACAAGGATTCTTATCCCTAGTTAATAATTCTTTAAGGGAATAGTCCCTGTAAGAGGAAACAAGAAAACTTAATTTCCTCAACCTTTCCTCAATAGAGAATTGAACAGCATCCCGAACCATTTGGAAAGCAAAGAAAATAGAAAAGTTTGTTAATTCAACTATCATTTTGCGCCAACAGACAAAATTTGTAGTAGTCATCAATTGTCAGCAACAACTCATAACAAGGAATAAATAACCCTACAATCAATTGAAATTTATAATTCTCAATATCACCAAATTCATAAAAAGCATAGATAGAAAATAAACCAAATTTCATGAACCAGAATCTTACTTAAAAAGAATAAAAAACCAATACTCTCCTATGTAGATTGCAGAACCCTAAACCCAAGTTTCAGAAGCAATCCTTTTTTTCTTCGGAAATCAGTGGGGGGTTTGGGTCCCTACCAACTTTCATTAATAACGAAAGAGAAAAACAAAGATTATGGTACAATTCTTTCATATGAAGTCCTAGCCATATCAAAAAAAATAATAGACTAAAGGAAATCTGGTGGCCAGGCTCGCCAGACTGTGGTCTCCGAGAGGTAATTCAGAAGCAATCTTTGAATTATCCATAATGGAAAAAGAGAAAAATGATCTTCCAAGTATCACTTTTATTAACAATAAAAAAAATAAATGGCAGAAACAGAGAACAACTTTCAATCAATAATTCAGTGAGGAGCAATTACCTTACAAGGAGAAAAGAGAGACAGCCTTTGAAGTCCTGCTTCCTTATCCACCTCATCTTCTAGCCTTTCTATTCTTTCATTTGGATCATAAACTATCTAAAACACAGTGAAATTACAGGAAGAATTTAATTCAAACAACCAATTTTGTCCACATCAGTACAAGGAATGAACTCTATTGAAATGTTAATTTTCAGCCATCCTAAGAAAACAGTCACGAAAGGATAGACGCAAGTTTGAATTTGAAATGCAGTAAATGGACACTGTTATGGTAATTTCAGTTCTACCAAAACACAAAAAAAAAAAAGACTAGAAGTAACAATGAGTCTAATCATAAAAATTCAACAGAGTAATAGTAAAAATACCAACCACCCATCCCAGCGAAAGAGAAAACACAGAAGAAGAAAGAAAACAATTGAGTGACAAACAAAATAATGAAATATTTCATAAAGGGAATACGCCAAATGGACAGGACATTATTATTGCAATTTTAACCCTACCATTTCAAAAAAATACTAAAAATAAATAAAAAAATGCAGTCAAGTGGCAGCTAAAATTCAAGTTCATGGAAATTCAAAAGAATAACAGTAAATTACAAATCCTTGCCATCTAATGCCCCAAGAGAAAACCAATGAAGAAGTTTAAAGAAATTCGAATGGCAATTTTAACTCTACCACTTCAAAAAAAAAAAAAAAAAATTCCAGTCAAATGACAGCAAAAATTCAAGTTCATGGAAAAAAGACTTACAGCAACATACAAATTCTAGCCATCCAGTACCCCAAGATAAAACCAATGAAGAAGTTCAAAGAGATTCAAACCCATGAAAATGTCTAAAGCGATCGATTAAAATTCACCTCCATCTGTTTCTTGGGAGTAGTGGAACCATAGGCCATGGCTCCGAGAGAATGGAATCCGTAAGGCCCTAGATTTCGAAGTGGGGTGAGTCCATTATTGTAGAACAGTGAATTTCCAGACGGGCGTGTTATTTTGTTACACTGGGTGAGCTTGTGTTGGTGTGTTGAAATGGACAGATGATTGCAAAATGGGGAGTTGAAGGATGAAGCCATGGATTATAATTGAATCTGCACAAAGTTCGGTTTGTTGGAACTACAAATACTCTTCTCTCCCTCTCTCTCTATAAAATTAGGAGCATAAACCTCCCTCCCTTTCTCTCTCTAAAACATTTGCTCATGTGAATCTGAGCAGTTGAGGACAAAGAAAGGAATCCTTGGATTAAACCCACGAAGATAAGTCACCGCAATTTCTACTTTTTCCTGTTAATTTACTTCGTTTACTACTTAATTAAAATGGAGATTGTATAAGGTTGCATCCTTATACTGGAGAAGTAAGGCACACGTCTAAAATTTGCTCAGAGATGATGTCCTTCTCGTGTCTGTAATGTTGCCATAACTACAATCTATTTTCATCCCTAGTTCTAAAATTTGAAATTTTGAAATTAGTATTGAGCGAGCGGATCAAGAAACAATGGAGAATCTTGAAAGTAGACCGACTAGATAATTTCTTACACGGTCTTTTTTGGGACTTGAAATTCTTTCACTATTTTTTCCTTCATTTCTATACATCTCAAGGTTGAGATGATCAATTACGTGTCAGAATACTTTCTTTTATAAGATTTTTAAGGTGGACCTTAACTCAACAATATAAAGTTGCAACTTTATATAAACTTCCATCATAAAAGGTTGGGTTGTTGTTGGAAAACGCTCAAACTGATCATCTCGACATCAAGATATATGAATATGAAAAGAAAAAAAGATTGAGCACTAAAAATAGTGTATCTTGCAATATATTATTTGGACCATCCATTTTCAAGATTTTCAAGTGTTTATAGATCTATTTGATTTAAACAATTTTTGGAGCTTACGATTTTATAATTAGAAATGAAAATAGATTCTCAAGCCATCGTAAAACACCAAAATTATGTTAACAATAAAATTTGGAGGTGCTCCTTAATTTGATTGTTTAAGGACGTATAATTACAGATGGAGTATTGATAGCCCAGGGATTCATTCCAGAACATTGAGTAGTGAACCAAGGGTACTGATAAAACTTGATTTGGAAAACACAGATAATCAAATAGACTTGGATGTTTTATTGGAGGTATTGAAGTGTATGGGGTTTGGGGAAAAATAGTGTGGGTGGATAAGGGGGTGTTTATCCGGTAGTCATTTCTCTATTTTGGTAGTGCTAAAAGTTGTTTTAAGGCATCACGGGGGTGAGACAAGGTGACCCATTATCACTTTTCTCTTCACATTAATGGGGGAGGCTTTTAGTAAGAGAATTACTAATGTGGTGAATAGAGGTAGATTCACAAGTTTTAATGTTTCACCTACATGCCAACAAGTTTCACACCTACAGTATGCAGATGATACACTTCTCTTCTGTGATGCATCTATTGACTAGATTGTTAATATTAGAAGGATGTTGTACTATTGTGAGGTTGGTCTCAGTCTCAAGGTGAATTTTGAGAAGACTTCAATCATTGAGGAAGCGTGAAGATATTGTTTTATCATTTGCCTCACAGTTGGGATGTAAAGTTGTTGAATTTCCCATCAAGTATCTTGGATTGCCAATTTCGGATCAAAGATTGCCCTAGTCAGTGTGGGATTCAGCTCTTTAGAGGGTTAATACAAAGTTGGATCTATGGAAGTCAAGACATCTGCCTTTAGGAGATAGAACTACTCTGATTAAATCTCCTTTGTCAAACTTGCTTATTTATCAGATGTCCCTTTTGATGATGCCATTGTCAATATCAAAACTGATTGAAAAGCTCATGGGGAACTTTTTATTGGGTTCAAGGGATTTCGAGAAAAAATACCATCTTATGAGTTGGGAGAGAATATGTACTCCGATAGCAGAAGGTGGTCTAGGTGTAAGAAGACTCAAACATACTAATTGGGCATTGTTGGTACAGTGGTGGTGGAGGGCGAGGCCTGGAGAGGAAGCTCTTTGGATTAGTATTTTGAAGGAGAAGTATGGTGAGGATCGAAATAACCAGTGGATAGGCAGAGACAGAGGAGCGAGATTTCAATCCATCATCTGGAAAGATATATGTTAAATAAAGGATTTGTGTTACAATACTCCATATAGGTGATCAGATAGGGGTCTAAAGTCCATTTTTGGCATAGTAAGTGGTTGAGTGAATACCCATTGAAGCTCTCATTTCCTATGGTATTTAAAGTTTGTTGTTGATCCCATGGCAAAGGTAGGTGAAGTGTTAAATAGGAGAAGGGACGCTTGGACAGTGAACTGTAGGTATAACAGAGTTAATGATAACTTCACTAGCCAGTACTCTTAGTTACTTAATTTGTTAGAAGGGGTCAGCATTTTCCAAGGGATAGAAGATGATTTGGTGCAGGAAGTGGAGAGTCATGGAAGCTTTTCGGTGAAATCAACATACCCTCTTTTGTTTCATGATAGGATTAGGTGGAATAGATGTTCCCTTCGTAAGATTTGGTCATGGAAAATCCCCCATAAAGTTAAGGTTTTTTTGTGGTTGTTGTTTCAAGAGAAGACATTGACAGTTGATAATCTTATGAAAAGAGGGTGAACTCTAACTAATAGTTGCCTTCTTTGTAAGGAAAATGATGAGAGTGGGTATCATTTGTTTCTTCATTGCCCATTTACGTATGACTATATCGAAACTTAGGTATAGTAGGGCCTTTGCCCCAAAGCCATACTCAAATTGTTGAACAAATGAATTTTGATGGGTTGCCTAAAGTTAGATCCTTAATTTTTCGGATTGGTAGGGCAGCAGTTCTTTGGGAAGTGTGGTTGGAACATAACAGACGGACTTTTGAAGGTGCTTCGATGGAAGATGTGGTTGTACAAAGGATGATTCAACATACATGGTGGAGTTGGTCTTCAATTACAAAGGAAGGTTTTGGCGCATGAAAGGTGGACATGGAAGTGAACATATCTAATCTTATGATGCAAAGAATTATCAAACCGAGACCTATAGACAGATGGGAAGCTCTAGGTATAGGCATCATTAAATTAAAATTTGATGGCAGCTCTTTGGGGAATCCGAGACCAGCTGGAGTGGGGGGAGTTGTGAGGAATTCAAGTGGAGAGATTATCCTTTGTTATGCCGGCCCTTGTGGGGAAAAAACAAAATAGCAATTGAAGCAGAAATGTTGTCAGTTTTACAAGGGATCAAAATATTGAAATATAGGGGTATTCAGCAACCATGTGTTATTGAAGGTGATTCTCTGAATGATATTAATTAGTGCAACAACATTTCAAGACCTCCATCAAGATGGCGATCGCTTTGGCTGGGTGTGATGGAGATTGGGAATGGCTTACAAAATATTGTCAAAAAAAAAAGAAAGAAGAAGAAGTTGGAACCTTATACAAACCACACCCTATTTAGAAATCCTAAAATTAGAGAGTTTCAAAACTAGATTTGAAATTAGTAGTCTTGTAATAAGTTAATCTAGACCATTCAATTTTCAAGTGGAAGTGTTCACAAACCCATCAAATTTTATTTTTGGAACTTCAAATTTCATAGCCAATGCTAAAAACAGAGTTTCAGGCTTTAAATAGAGTTTCAAGCCATGTTTCATTGTTTTTTGCGCTGGAATTGCATTTTTACCAAGATTTTTAGATGTGATTTTTTTTTTTTTCATGAGGCTTAGGCCTTGTATAAACCGCATCACCTAAAAAGAGAACAAGAGAAAAAAAAGAAAAATAATAATAATAATAATAATAATAATAATAATAATAATAATAATAATAATAATAATAATAATACTAATAATCCTTTCACATGCTAGTGTTCTAAAAATCAGCAAGCCCGAGTCAACTTGAACATTGCCAGTCCTTGGTTCCTAAATGAACCCCAAGGAATCGTCCGATGTTATCCAAAACCAGGAGAGAACCTCCCAAAAACTATTGCACTAGATGGTTCTTGAGGACTTTAGAAGCCCACTTAGGGTTCAACAATCAGATTCAAATCATGGGTGTTCGGGACTCTGTTCATGCCCTTGTTTTCTTTCTAAAGGAGGGTGGAGGAGAGGGTCCATCTTTTTATTGTTTTTCACTTTATTTGGAGAAATGTTACGTGCAGTTTGTATAGAATCGCTAAACAATCAAAGTAAAGCACACCTGCAAATAGTATTGAGAAATGTGGTTTCAATACTGAAAATCTTTGTGATAGCTTTAAAATATATTTCTATTTTTAATTATAAAATTTAAAGCTTGAAAAATAGTGTAGATAGAACTTATCCAAAAAAAAATAGTGTAGATAGAGCAAATCTATGAAAACTTAAAAATCTTAAAAATTGACGATCCAAAAATAAGTTACAAGATGTACTATTTCCAAAACTTGAAATCTATGTTTTTTCTCATGTCCATGCATCTTGATGTGGAGATGATCAATTTGAGGATATTTGAGCATCAAAACAACCACTTCTATTGAAATTTTTGAGGTGGGCTCTAAGTTGATTGTGTAGAGCCTCGACTCTATATAAATTTTTTCTTACTTAAAATGATCAAATATTTTTGTAAAATAATGAAAATTGCCAAATCATCCTATTTAAAATAAGAAGTGTTACTTTTAAATTTCATTTCTTTCTACGACCTATCATAAAGCTGGTCAAATCTTCCCATGTAATAGAATTGCTACATTTAAATTTCATTTCATTCAACTTCTTTTTTTTAAAAAAAAAAAAAGTACCATAAAATTTGATAAAATCGCTTTTACTTAAGATTTGAAACCTTGAACAAGTAGGAGATTTTGTTATTTTTTACCTAACTAGATGGACCAAACCAAATAATGAAAATACTCTTGATTGTTCGAATTCCCAAATAATGATGATACCTATGGTTATTCAGGGTTAGCAACGCATGACTCACTTCCTTAACTATAAATCATTATTCCACATTGCTAATCCTACACAACTTGATGTATTTTTGTCACATGGCTCGGGCCACTTAATTAGGAGAAAATTACCAAAATGCCCTTTGTTTAGGATTCTCATTTTTTTAAAGAGGCAATTCAATCGGTTTTTACCATATATTTTTATCGAAACATCTAAGTGAAATGAAATTTGATGTTAAATTAGAAGATTGACCGTCTTAATGATGTATTTATGTCATATGGCTTGGGCTACTTACGTAGGAACAAATTACCAAGATGCCCCTTGTTTAGGATTCTCATTTTTGGAGTGGGCAATTCAGCCATTTCTTAATTATATTTTTAAATTTAAGCATATGAGTGAAATGACATTTAATGTTAAGTGAGATGACCTGACCACCTCAGTCATTTTTTAAAAGGTTCAATTTGTATAGAGCCGAGGCTCTAAACAATCAGAGTAAAGCGCACCTTCAAAAAATATCGAGAATGTGGTTTCAATACTGGAAATCTTTATGATTGTCTTAAAATACATTTTCATCTTTAATTATAAAATTTAAAGCTTTAAAAAAAGTGTAGATCGAGCAGATCCATGAAAATTTGAAATCTTGAAAATTGACGGTCCAAAATACGTTACAAGTTGCACTATTTCCAAAACTTGAAATCTATGCACATACATCTTAATATCGACATGATGAATTTGAGGATATTTAAGCATCAAAACAATCTCTTCTTATACGGGCTCTAATTTGATTGTTTAGAGCCTGAACTCAATATAAACTTTTTCCTTTTGTAAAAGATGGGTTTTCTATAAGTCCTCCTCCATGCTGTAGGTGTGCGTCCCCTCTAAAGTGCATCCAAAGATGAATTCTGGATCACACTTTTAAGAGATCTATAATCTAGGTCATAGTGATCTTTAATATATAAATAAAATAAAATTTAAAATTTTAAAAATATTTTCTATTATTTTACACGCCTATTTGGGTGCCTTTTTCCTCACGTCCTACAATGGTTTGTAAAGAGTTTGACTATTTAAATAATATTTTCCCTCCTCTATTTTGTTTTATATATTACTCATAAGAAGGCTTGGCCAAACGGCCCCAAACTTTTTAATCGTTACCCTTGACTATCAAGTGCCCAAAGTACCTCCCCCTACTTGTCGCCCAAAGTACCTCCCTTTTTCTTTTTTTTTCTTTTTTTTTTAGTGGGCAAAAAAATGGTCAAGGATATAGGTTTTTGCTCGTTTTTTAACAGCATTAGTAATTTTCTAGTGCGTTAGGTGAGACTGGAAGTCTAGACCTTGCCTAGGGCACAAGTGGTGCAATCACTACAACCCAACCCCATTCTCACATCATAATCTTTATGCTTGTGCCACACGGCATGACAGGCTCATTGCCTCTTTTTTTCATTCACTTGTGAGATTTTATGATATGTTGGTTTTTCTCATAGCTATTATTTTTTTGAGAAAATATCTCTATGGACCCCATTTTGAACTTGCATTTATTCTTGAACCCAAAAATTCAAAATGTATCTGCTAACCCCTAATTACTTTATCTATTTTTATTCCAATTTTTAACCCAAACAAATTGAAAAAGATATTTTTTTAACTCTCTCTCCTCACGTGTTTCAAACTTCCTCATGTGTTTCTCTCTCTAGACTGTTCAGGAGCTCAGCGGAAAACTTGCGTTTTAGCCGCTTTTTTATATTAATGAACGCTATGACACAAGCATTTGACTTCATCACCATCCTGCAGTTGCTCTTCTCCTCCTAATAAGATTAACATCAAGCGTGGTAATGGAGGAGGAGATAGTGAGTGATGATAAGTACTATCAATCCCAGGCAGCTATAAGAAGAAAAGCAACATCACAACAACAACAATTGATGGAGCATGGGAACTATGAAGAATCAAGTTGTGAACCACTTCCTCCTCCAATCCTCTTGTTGATTTGGGAATTGACCAAGAGCCCATGCCTCAATTTCGGGCCTCTTCTGCTTGGGTGACATACACTTTGCCCTCTCTCACTGTGACGATGCTATGAGTTGTTACACCTATCCATTGGCCTTTCAGAGGCGAATACTCGAAGGCTCCGACTCTCACTTGGAGATAGTTCAAGGGATCGAGAGGGGGAACACTTTGCCAAGGCTGAGGAGGCAGGACAAGGTTGTCGAGATCGCCAAGGGTGTGGGATTCTCCTTGCAAATCCGGTCAAGATTTCGGCCAAAAAGATTCAGTATGTGAAACCCTAAACCGGAAATTTGTGGGTTCTCCCTGCAAATCTCGGTCAAGATTCCGGCCAAAATGGTGGCCGGCCAAAAAAATTGAAATTTGTGGGTTCTCCCTACAAATCCCGGTCAAGATTCTGGCCAAAAATGGTTTCCAGCAAGCAGGTGAGGAGGGAGATAGAGAGACGGGGGGGTTTGGGGGATTGATGGGGGAGAGAGAAAGGGAGGGCTTAAGAAACCAAGTCTTTTTTAGGTTTGTTTGGGTCAAAAAAATTAATAAAATATGATAAGGGGATTAGGAGATATAATAGTGTGAACTTCTATGTAGTAAGATAGGTTTTGCAACCTGAGGTCAATGGAGAAATAAAAGTTGAAAATGAAGTCTAAGGAGATATTTTCCCTTATTTTTTTTGGGATCGTATAATGAGCCCATTTATCTTTGGTATAAAGAGGTCACGATTATTTATAGCCATTTGATGTGAAATTTGATAGCTAGGATGTGTTACAAAATTCAAGACAAATTCGAGAAAATCTCTTTTGAACTTTGAGCTTAGTCAATGGAATGAATGCAACAACCCAATTTGACATCCAATAGTCAAGATTAATTGTGCTCACCTTGTATGAAAGATAAATGGTACTATTGTATATTTTTGCTTTTTTTTAAAATAAATTTTTCATGCCCATTGCAAATCAATACTCAACAATGATTTTGCTCTTTCTTAAGGTTCCTTTAATTATGGCACATATTTAGTGCTTTTTTTTGCTCTTCTAAGATACTCATCTAGCTCATGTTTAGAAGTGAGACAACCATTAATTTTTTTGATATGGTTTGCATAAGGTTGCAACCTCAAACAATCAAAGGTGCACTAACAAATTTCATCATAATATGTAATTTCGGTGTCTAAAATTCTTAGCATAGCTTGATAACCCAGTTCTCTAGTTATAAAATTTAGACTCCAAAAATAATTCAAATTAAATAAATCCATAAACAAATAAAAATCTTGAAAATTGACAATTGAGATAATGTGTTGCAAAATGCAATTTTTTGGAATTCAAAATCTTTTCTCTCACATTCATATATCTCGAGTGTGAGGTTATCAATTAGAGGGTTTTCCAACTTTAAAACAACATTTTACATGGATTTTTTAGGTGCATGTTGTTTCTACATTTTAAGCTTGCAGCCTTATATAAGCTTTTTACCTAAATTTTTTGTATTGCAACAATGCTTTGAACTATATGCATCTTTTTTTCTTTATCAGTAACCTCGGAACTCGGAAATGTACCATCTGTGATTCTTCCTCTTCCATTTCTCTGTGCCAAACCGCATAAAGAGCATTCGTATAACCTAAAACTTCCTTAAAGAAATCTTTGATATTTCCTAAGATTGACTAAATTGAAGAAAATAAAAGATTTTTGAGGTAAAAATAACAATCATCAAAATGAATGGCCCAGATTCAGCTTGGGAACAGCTAGTGAACCCATTCTCTCTCTCTCTCATCTCATCTCACTCACTGGTAATCCAGACCATCTTAGTTTTCAATAAAGTGCATACCCCGAGGCATCATCCAAAAATTAATGGGTTCACCATTTTCGTGCATATATTTGATATAGCAATAAACTCCTTCAGATCTTATTATTGAAAAAAGAGTGTCTTTTGAGCTTGACATTCAGCCACAGCTTACATCACCCATCACATACTCATTCTCAGCATAACACCTTGTGCTTCAAATATTGGAATCGGGCGATTCCAATTATCCCGGTCTGGCTCGGACTATTCCCGAGAAGAACCGGGCTAAATGTTCATAAAGAAATTAAAGGAAAATGAGAAACCTCAAGAGTCAAGCAGTTGTGGAGATTCTCCATCTAGAGTCACCCAAACTCCTGGATCTAACTCTTAGGATTTTTTAATCACTGATACCAACACACAGATTTTGCAAATTTTATCTACCTATTCAAGACGCATGCCAGTTTTGCACAGATCTACTATGGGATGCACAACAGCCTCTCTCTCTCTCTCTCTCTCTCTCTCTCTCTCTCTTGCTGCCTGATTACAAGTTCTGCATGAACCAAGAATAAATTTGCAGCATGTAAGAAAAGGAAACATGCATTTATGGATATTTTCCTTTGTAGGGGTTAAAATACCCATTATATTTGCCAGCTTATCAGTAGGCATGGTTCTTGATCTTCAATGCTGCAGCTCCATTAAGCTGTGGCAAGGAGAGAGACCCTTGTGTTACCATTTTCAACTGGTTTCTTCTCAACACTTGAGCCCAAAACTAGGTTTCCATCTGGCTTTGTATCAGCTCCTTCAATGGGAGGACATGATCTCCCACTATTGACCACGAGATCTCTGATAGCGGTCTTGAGCTCATTATCAGCCAGCAGGGTCTCCACTGTGACATGCAATCCTGAACCCAATATAAAATTAGCAAAGTACAAAACCAACAAGCTCAATCAGATGATAACTAGGAAATCAATGTGCCTTTAATTTCCGAAATTGGTGCCGCTATGTAGTTTAAATCCTAATAATGAAAGGCTTGGCCTCCTATAATATCCAAAAATGGAGGGCAAGAGTTCAAGAAAGCAAGCTTGAGCACAGGTATAAGATGATAGGGATTCATGAACTTACCATGATTTGAAACTCAAGTAGAAAGTTCTCCTCCACACATATGAATGGAAATATAGTACTAGGGCACTAAAAACATGACCCATGCTGCAAAATAATGTAGGATGCGTATATTTTTAAGGCTATTAAGGCCTTTGTTGCATTACACTTTCATGGTACCTTTTGAGCATTGTCTAAATATACATGTGCCTATGTATGGGTATAAGGATTCCCTTGGTTCCCCAAACCATCCTCTTTTATTATTATTATTTTCTATCTTTTTCTAATGCCTTCTTTCAAGAACTTTGGATAATTATGTTGTTGGGATTTGTCTCTTTAGTTCAAGGTTGGGTCAGAATTTATTTGTTCTCTATAAATAAGAAGTGTTGCTGCATCACAAGCTTGAGGTCTCTCCAAAAGACTTTGGTTATACCTAAGTTTCCGAGTTCCATCAGTTTAAATTTCATCATATTGTGGATTTAAATAGTTCATTATATGTATGATTCAAAGCTCAAATAGGATTCAAATGAACCCTCCGAGATTAAAAAGACGGGAAAAAAAAAAAGACAAAACAAAAATGTTTTACAATATTGATTCATGGTTGGATCACTAATATATGAGATCTTGTAAGCCCGTCATACATGAGAAAGAGTCCGCAAACTGGCTTGACTCTCCCCAGATGGGGATTACACAAAGCTGTGTTGCCTTATATCGTATTGAAATATTTTCACAAGTATGCGATAAAGACCATAGGAAACAGGCTTTCCTGGAAGCTTACAAATGGTTAGCAGAGTCACTTTCAATCTGAAGCGACCATTGGTTGCTATTTTATAGTCTGATGCCAGTCGACAGTGCCCGGGCTTCAGCTTGTGTAGCATGGCAAATAGGCCATACCCAAAAAGCGAGTAAGATGCACCTAATTAGGTTCAAAAAACACCTCCAAATCCTCTTGAACTACAATCAAAGGAATCTGCAGAGCTTCTTTTATGAATGTTCATTCCATTCGATCACTGCATGGAAAGGCACCATAACAGATTCCCTAGACATTGAAAGGCGAGAGAGAACCAGTATTTGAAAAGATTTTCAACTAAACTAGAACCCACCAAGAAAACTTGAAATCCAGAAGTAGGCATAGATCTGTTATGCTATTCCACACTGATTTTCTACTTAACTAGAACCCACCAAGAAAACTTGAAATCCAGAAGTAGGCATAGATATGTTATGCTGTCCCACACTGAACCAAGAGATGTGGCACTGACTCAGCTTCTTCTTTAGAGGAATGCAGAGGTTCGCTATGGAACTCTACTATTTTGTAATGTTATCAACCATAAGGATCATGTAATATGGTCAAGCACCCGAGGGCTCTAGATTTACGGGAGGTAGATATGCCTGCTCATGCTCTCGGCGTGTGCTTGAAATTGCATGTGTGGTGTGTGCGCTTGTGTTCTTTAGCAAGTCCAAAGGAAACACAACAATCAGAGACTTGCACACGAAAGAAGCGAAAATCCATTCAATTAATACAGGGGGGTGTAGAGGGAACTTACAACAGTGGGTTCATGAATTCCCCTAATCAGTGTGGCCCACCCTCTTAGACCACCCAGTTTATATGAATGCCAGGGGAGGCCACCCACGCTTAACAGTCTATTGGGAGATTAGGTCGTGTATCCGACATTTTTTTCCTCGCGAGGAGTTTAGCTTCGTCTTGCTCGTTTTTAACGAGAAGGGAAATGCGACTTAGTGCTAGAACCCAAGTGATCCAAAAAGTGGTGGATTCAATCCAATTCGAATCAAATTTCCAGCTTTGATACCAACTACACATCAAACCTTAACGTCTACTAGCAGATCTAGTCGAGTATTCTACTAGAAAAGTGACAGAGTCGAGCAGATTCTTGCTTTGATTCTCCCTCTGGGTGCTTGACGTTTTTTGGGGTTTTGTGTAATTTGGGTAATTTTGATGCCCTAGGATTTATGAAAATTTTTGGACTTGTTTGGGGATTTTCTATTTTCTATATTTTTATAAAGCTGAGGGGTAATTTGGGGATTATGGAATGGAGGCAAGGGCAATTTGGGAAGTTCAAGTTTTCTCTCTCTAAGGAAAGGGTTTCTCTCTCTAGATTAGAGCTTCATTTTCCAACTCCTAAAAATAAGATCTAAAGTTTATAGACATGGGAACACATGGGTAGAATATTAAAAGTTGGTAGTTCGAAAATCAAAAGCATGGCTCAAAGGAGGGTTGATTATCAAAAATAAATTCGAGCTAGGGCAGAAAATGATCAAAAAAAGATGCCTAACCCTGGGAATTTTCAATGATTTGCCCTTGAGGAAGTTCACTTTCACTTTTTGATCCACCACTAAAACCCATCAAATCGAATTGTTTGTCCACTATTTCGGACCAAATATTTTCCGTGAAATTATGGGGAAATCGACCACGATCATTTTGCAACAAATTTGAGCGAAAACCGTCCATGATTTGTCAAATTCACTCATTTTGAGTTTTGGTTTTCTATTTCCGATAAAAATTGCTTACCCACCTCGTCATTGTGCTCAAATTTTGCCGCTATTTGACGATCAACCGGTAAATTCTTATGGCAGACCCTGAGACCGATGTTTGGCAAAAATTACAACTCAAGATGATGCCGGGTTGGAGAGATATGGCTCTTTTATGTTTTACTATTTTTGGCAACTCCAGTCTCATAACTTTAGGCAACTTCTCACTAAAATTTGCCCTTTGAATTGGCTTTTGATCGTGGATTTTTATATATGGATGTGTTGATCTCTGAGTTGGAAAGCTCCTCGCAAAATTTTGGCTTTGATTCGCTGCACAGAATACAAGATATTGCTCTGAAAGTGAGGTGAGGTCATAGGGACTGATACACATTCATTTATTGCAGACCCCCAACTTTTCGGCTCGATTTGACCTCCATCGGAATAGAAAAATCCGTCTCTTTATATGGATGAGAAACTCATGTAGCAAAGAATAACCTGCTAAATTTTGGGCCCATTTGGCCATGGCGATTGGGAGATGTGGCCCCCAACTTTTTGCAAAAAAATTTGTTGGTTGCTGTAATTCTCATTGAAGATGATGAACTATTTTCACAATATGGTATGTTTTCTTTTCTTTGTGGTCCCCCTGCGGTGCTCCAAAGATGATGCTAGAAATGACACTTCTCGACATCAGATTTTGCCAAAAATTTTACCAACGGTGGGTAGCGTTCTCAAATAGGGTATGCCCTACAACCCACATAGATGTTTGATACGCATATTTACAAGATTACCTCCTTCCACAAGCAGGATTATGGCTCTCAGGCTTCCACAACCACTTACCAAGCCAGGCCAAATTGGCTTCCCTAAGCTTCCTTATCCAGAGACCCATATTTCCTCCCAACTTTGTTGAGTCCCATAAGTTTGTAGCTTTGGATTCATAAGAGAAGTTATTCTTCTAAAGCATAAACTCCTTAGGATCTTATCATGCAAGATCCAATCATTTTACAGCCTTCTATAGATAAAAATTTCTGCCTTGAATCAGTCAAAACACGATTGGAATTTTCCACATTTATATATGCACTACTTAATTATTTATTTATTTTCTGTTGCAACTAATGGTAGGGAAAGTACATCAGCTGATGTCATTGCAGATTCATAGTTTCTCTTAAAGATCCACTGAGATAGACAGAACGCAAGAATACCTACTAACAAAGAAAACAAACAATGACGGTCTAAAACTCTAAATGCACATGCACATTTAATACAAAGCTCATGGCAAAGATCAGTACTGCTTTCATAATTGACAAGAGAGAGAGAGAGAGCTTACGATATCGCCAGTAATGTTTTGGATTTGTCGGATCATTGATTGTCTCCTCTGCAGCAGGGCGCTTAGTATACTCTTCTTTTAGTGCAAGCAAGTCCTACCATGAAGATTTGATCTTTCAATTTGATGCAAATGATCCATAAATGAAGCAGTGGAGTACGTAAGACATAAATGATTAGTATTCTTGCATAAAGTGAAAAATGCCCTTATCCAACCACTCATTGATCAATTGTGAGAAAAGCACAATTACTAACAAGTTAAACACAAGGGAATTTATAAGGGTGAGGTTTTTATAGAGCCTTGGCTCTATACAAACAAAGTAGAGCGCACCTTCAAATAGTGTCAAGAAATGTGGTTTCAATACTGGAAATCTTTGTGATAGCCTTAAAATATATTTTCATCTCTAATTATAAAATTTAAAGCTTAAAAAATATATCGAGCAGATCTATGAAAACTTGAAAATCTTGAAAATTGAAGGTCCAAAAATGCATTACAAGATGCACTATTTCCAAAACTTAAAATCCATTTTTTTCTCATGTCCATGCATCTTGAAGTCGAGATGATCAATTTGAGGATATTTGGACATCAAAACACCCTCTTCTAGTGAAATTTTTGAGGTGCACTCCAATTTGATTGTTTAGAAGCCTCGGCTCTCTATAAATTGTCTACTATTTATAATATTATCCAGTGATTAGTCCAATGGAGTCATCATCGTCCAATAATATGATAAGACGGTTATGGAGGAAGATTGTGGGACCCATTGGAATAGGATATAACCACATTGTAGGACCCACTAAAACAGCACATACTTACCATGGTTTTCCATAATCCACTGGTCTATGTTATACTTCCCAAAACATAAACCTTACCTGTAGGGGGAAAATAGCCCACATTGATGGAGCATCAACATGCTGATGTATAATGAAATAAGCAATGCTGGGAACACAGCGAGGGGGTGGAACTTCATCTGAGCCAAGGAAAGTTTTGTAAAACCGATATCTTCTTTCCTCATCTTCTTCCCACCAAGCACGCAGAGTGGAGCAATCATGGCAAGATGGAGCACATACCTAATATCATAAGTTTGTCCTCAGCAAAATGTCTTGTGTTATATGACATTTCTTTCTTCAAATAATAATATTTATACCATAGTTCTTCCTTTAAAGATGATTCAACTATCATTGATCATCACGCCAAGTAAACCCAAATGCAACATAAAATACGAGCCAAGCCACAGTTTGAGAATCATAATAAATGGTGCAATAATGATCCTTTTTTCAGAATAGCATTATCTTACAGTCATATAATCATATTTCGAGGGAATGCCAAACTCCAAATCAGGCTCACTGGGCATTCGTTGTATCCGCAGACCAATTAATCCCAACTCTTGCATAACCTGGATCAGCACATAGATGATTAGAAGAACATCCTCTCTCTCTCTCTCT